GGAAGATTACGGTTTGGTCTGAAAATTATAAAAATACTAATTTTCATGATTATTCACCAAAAGTTTTTTTTATGTTCTCAACTTACACTACTCCCTTCACAGGCATTGTCGGCATAGATACTTGAAGCCGATAAAACACTTCTATCACACTTCCAGAATACTGTAAAATACTCATTTAATCAAAGCTATCGGGCCTGTGCGAACTGGGAAGTGAAAAAACATAAGCTCTTCCCACGTGTAAGCTACCTTGCAATGGGTTACCCAATAGGACCATAATTATTTTTTTTAAAGGGACTTCGCAAAACCTACCGGCTCATGGTGGTAGACCATTGGCCTATGTGTTTCGTTATCCGGATGTAGCCCAACAACGGAGTTAATCATTTCTGGGGGCGAGTAGACGAAATGTGGAGGAGAGTACATTACCGAAAATGGAGTGGGTTGTAGACGACCTGTAAGATAAGGCATAATTTTTAGCATAAGATTGATAAAGTATAAAGCAACATACTAAGCATAATTCGATGTACCTGGATAACAAACAAGCGGGAATATCCCGGGTGGAACTAAGTAAGTTCCACCTACATAGCTCTTATTGCAACAGTCATGGCAAAGATTTTGTTGCAAGGAACAGTCGACTACAAATGGATCTTTGCATTGTTCCGGCAATCGGCTAAATGTAAATTAATAAAAGTTTTCTTGTTCGAACACTTAATTGTTTATAGCTTTATCTAAATTCAATAGCATGGTGTGTGCTATACGGAAAGAAGGAGCCAAGGTATATCCTTGAGAGGATAACAGGATTCCAAGGGATCAGCATATTAGTAGTCAGACTCTTTATCAGCCAGAAACAACTTCCAATACGTCCTTCTAATCTTTCATTTATCAGATATCATGGATTTTCTTAACACAAAGTCTTTGCACGTTCTCCACGAGCAAGTGCTTCTGAGACTCAGAGTCAAGAAAAGCTTGGTGCCATCCAGCTGCAGTGTAGTGCTACATCACCATATCATTCAGTTGACAATTTAATTCAAGAATCCGAAAGTTCCAAAATCTAGTCTAATCTAGATAATTTCCTTTCAAAATTTGGGTGTTTTGGTTCTGTAAATCTCAACATTCGGTACTATGGCCTATGCATTCCTTTTTTACAAACCTCCTCACCCTTCTTCTCTTCCCCTTCCCATACCTCAGTAGTTTGATTACTTACCTATTGGTCAATCAATCTCCTTCCACTGTAAATCGAAACAACGAACACGGACACTTTTGCTTCCTTATCTTCGACTTTGAGAAACATTTAAACATCGAAGTACTTACTTATTTAGACACTTAAATGGCCTGTCTTCACTTGTCGTGCAGGCCACAGCATTGTTTCCATCCTCCTGTCTCTCGCTAGTGTCATCCACAATGTTGGTATTGAAGTGCGGCGGCGACGTTCGCGAAGCCCAGGTCCATTACTCGTTACCAACTGAGAATTCAGCTGGTTCGTCCGTGCAACGAATACGTCAGCCCATCTGGTCGGCGGCTTCCCTCGAGGACATTTTACTTCGCGAGGAATCCATTCCTGAGTTTTTAGTGTCCATCTAACGTCTGTCCTTCTCTTTATACATCCAGCCCATCGATGCTTTGCCTTAGAGACGTATTCCGCTGGATCGCGAAGACGAGACATTGACCTCATAT